CCCAGAACCAATTCGGAAAACTTCATGTTAAATGTCGGTACAACTACGTTAAGAAGCAACATCCACCCACTCACTTGTAACTGATTTTGAGTCTGTAATGTCCCTCTTGTGTAGATCTGTGCAGCTTTTTGGTATCCTACATCGTTCAAAACCATGAAGCCCACAAGTCCAATAAATCCCATGGTACTTGTGTTGTTGCAGAGTTCCTCCAGCCATATAATGGAGCAGGTAGATCATGAAGCCTTTCTACTTAAACTTTAACATTACTCTTCTTCTCCGCTAAGTCAGCCCCTCTTTACTAGGCAACTCACTAGTCTCAACAGTAGGCCTGATAGTTCAGTTCGCCCTGCACAAAACTTGAAAGCAGTATGTGCTCCGCCGTCTGCATCAATGGTATTAGTTACCTCAGAGATCAAATTTCCAACACAGACATCCACTCTGCTTCATCATAGTCTTTTACCAGTACTGTTGCAGCGTCCAGGGCTTTTAAAGTTCGGTGCAACATGGATATAAATGTAAGCATTTCATGTATCCTAATGGAACAAGCCTAGGTTTTACTCTGAAAAATACTCCAAACTAAAAGAATATGCGCTTTCACACAGAAAAATTACCGAACAATTCCCCATTTCCTTTACTGGCAGCACGGTTTAGGCCTCAAACATTGGATGAACTATAAAGAATTGCAATTCCTTTTGAAGAACATGCCGATAGGCAGATTTCCGACTTGAAGGCAAGCTAGGACTAATTCCTATTAGAACGAGTGATTACCTGTGCGGCAAGTGTCAATTAATTGTAAATGTCATCACAGAACGACCTAAAACATGAGGTAACATGAGGTTTGATCGCCAAATCTGTAGAGCTGTTTTGAAAGTACCGATAGATTAGTAGTGCAATGAATTGGACCAGGTACCAGTAGTCGGAAATACGGCAAGCAAATTGTGAGTAAGAAGATGTCGAACATATCATAGGGACCTCAGAGAAAATTGATTTATTGCCCTTGCTAACCCCTGGTGTGCTACGTTTTCTGAACAGATGATTCATGAACCACAAAGGAAACAGTAGTTTCTGTCAACCACATCCAGTATAGGAGGATACACCCAGTGATTAATAGGGTCACACGCAACATTCTGAGCCCGGGAGAACTTGGGGGACGAAATCTGCATACAAACTGGGTGGGCACAATCCGCTGTAATTAGCAAATACTAAGCACTCAGAATAGTTGTTGACCAGTGACTTCTACAAGGCCTGTTGAGGTTCCCGATAGGAAACTGAGTGACGCGTAGGTTCGACAACCCCGAATGTCAAAAGGTAGAATCAGGTTCATAATTCTACGGTACTATTTACACAAGGGTAAGCAAATGTGTACAACAAACCACAATTATTCACGTCTGTAGCGTCAACAAGTTTACAGGTCTGTCACTGACCGGCACAGTGCAGTGTCAACGTCCGCACGCCAAACAAAGGCGAGCGGAATGATGACTCGTAGCATGGGTTGTGGTCGCCCATTCCGACGACGGTCTCGTGATTCTCATTGGACGTGGGATCACCCGGAGCCCGTGAGAAAACAAGTCAAGGCAGGCTCAGCAAACGGGACATGAACGCGCATGGGTAAGTGGGTCAGCAGCGCACATTCACACACAAACACACATGTCAATACACAAGTGTCGGACAGGACGGCCCCTGCGGCAAGGTGAATGGCGGGTACGGATAAGCAAAACAACTGGAGATCAAATGTACATAGGCGGAGTAGGCAAATGAATAGGGGAAACATCATAGGGTCAAGTTAGATTCAACACGGCCATTCGTAAAACCAGTCCAATCCTCTCAATTTGCCATTTTTCAACCCATGGAATCCTGAGGACTTCAAATGGGTCTTAGTGTACAATCATAGAATTTGAGGGCTTATTCAACCAAACCGTGTTTATCTGGTTCCATATTCACTCATCCCTCAAACCTAGCTCACCTACCTCCAGTTAATAACTTGTAACGTTGTTGAGGCGTCAATAATGATGTAAACACTAGTTCCAGAGCTATTTTCAGGTAGCATCTAATACTGACCTCACAAACTGATCTTCGTTTCAGGAGTTTGACACAGGTGAATACTACTGTGGTATCATAACGACCAACGGGAAGTATTTATATAACAGACCACACAGCAGCTTGTTTCTCGGAGAACAAAAGAACATCGTGTTCGCACGAAGACGTCTGCTGAAAAAACCCCTTTGGTTGAACTCCACGATTCTCGCAGATTCGGGAGAAGTAATTCAGTCACGGTGCATCGCATGGACCACGAATCCGGTGAACAGACAGCTGGTCCGATTCGGTTTTAGTATTGATCCTCAGAGAAAGCTGCCCAACGAAACTATACGGTCATTTGAAAAGCAGCGGAGGGTTGTGACACATGCAGCCGAGCAGTTCTACGAGAGTGCACTCAGCGACCAAACACCAGCACGTGAATGTCATGCCACAGATCAATATACAGAACTAACCAAGCAGCTTCCTGAACCATTGTTTAAATGAGATGAATCGCTTTGTCTGCACAAAAACGGGTGCATGACAACGTTAATATGCCGTATCACGTGATAGTTGAGTGGGCTAGTCTGCTGGGCATACTCCGCGGCGTTAGACTGTAGTGGCAAGCGGTGTCTAAGTGGGCGTCATTACAAACCAGACATTACATACGGCTACCATTTTTCTGTCTGACGTGCTTATTGCATTTTGCTGCACAGTCTCACATCTGTACTCAAAGCATTTCAGTCCCTGCGTCATTTTTCCGTGAATGTTGACTACTTGGGTGCAACAATATGATGGGAAGCATATGCCCCCAAAATTTACTAGGGTAAACTCAGTAGGAAGGATTCCTCAAAAAATGCGCCACACATGCCGAGCCTGTGTCTGTAGTGCAACAAACCAATGTGTTCGACTGGTCTTTCAATGTGATTTCGGAATATTTCACCTTCCCGGTGGCCTCCCGTGACGCAAAATATTAGCATATTCGCAACCCGTGCCTACGTTTTTGACAGTTCAAGCACAGTCATCTCCGATAAGGCCAACATGCTTATTCCTCATCGCTCGAAAGAATGCGATGATAGTGATTCCATGACAAACCGGTCGCCGAATTACTTTTATACAAATAAGTTGAAAATGAGGAACTCTGGATATTTACCAAATCCAAGAAAATATCTTGAAGCAGAAAGACTGAAGCAATATGGATAGACTGGGATCAGGATGAAAGGGGTGGTGATGGTGATTTTTTTCTTGAAGGAGGCATGGATCACCAACGATCAACCACTGGATTTAGCATTGTAGGTCGCTCGGATCATACATCACTCCTTAGGTTAAATGAACAGCATCAAATCGGATTAAGTGGGAAGGAGCTGTTGGAACAAGCATCTTTATTCTATCGAAAGAGAAACTCTGTGTATTTTATCTGAAATCGTAGGAAAGTCGTAATCATTCAGAATGGCTAGACGGACTAAATGAGAATACGGTCAAATCAAAAACACTTTGGAATTTTATGACAAAATCAGATGTTTCGGATCATTCTACGGAAACCCGCGATGATGAAGCAAGCCTGGGTCTTAGTGGCATCGTAGTTGACGGACAACAAAGAATGCAATTGGTATAAGAATATCACATCTGCTGTCACGCTTATCTAAGTCTTGTCGCTGTAACACCTACCGATGGGGTGAGCAACGACAGACTGGGATAAAACGTGGAGTACGCAAGGATCAGATATCAATAAATTCTGCAGTAATTCCCGTGACTTACCAAAAATACAATGGATTGAGCTGTCTCATGACAACATAACCTCAAGTGGCAAACGGCATGTCCACAACACTTCAAATCGTAGCAAAACGCGAGTATTCCCAAGTATACGATGCTGGTTACTATGTTTCGATGGGTTGCTGAATATCCGTGCGGACTTCCCAGCACGTCCTAGGAAAAGATCGTGACCATCCTAACTAGGGGTTCAGTGGGATATCATCTGTACATACGATTTGGGCAATTACAAGCAATTCAGGACAGAACGTATCCGTGGATTCACATGGGCGTTCGGTTTATAAAAGAGTGGGTGGATCATGAAAAAGTTGCATCCAGCTTGGGTGTCTGAAGACTTACCCAAAACCGCCCGAAATTCCTAGAAGTCAGCAGAAAGCATTAATCAGATTTTGAAACTAGACTATGCCGGTGAATTACAG